GGAAGTCGCAGAAGGCTTGTAGAAGTTTTATTTTGTTCTAAATGAAATCCTCTGTCGATCAAAATCATTTTTAAAAAGGTTGAATTTTGAACGTGTCTTTTGGAGACCCAGTGGAAAATCCTCTGGATGGTTTTTGAAAATTTTAAAAGTGTTTCCATTGGATTTGTCACCATTTTTTACCAATAGATCCAAATTTTCATTGATTTTGAGTTAAAACTACCTGAGTTGTTGGCAGAACCGGCGCCCGATTATGAGCAAAATTGCCGAGTTTTCAATGAAAATTTAATATCTCAGGAACAAAACATAATTTCAAAAAAAAGAATACTTTATTTTTTTCTGCGCTTGACGGCGGATCGAATGGCGCCAAAATCGAGCCTTCAGCTTTTAAAGATTCGGAGGAGATAGCTTGGCAAGTTGAGCGAGTCAAAATTGGACATATCTCAACTCCCATTGAGTGCGATACACTTTTACTACGCCAAAAATTTTGAAATATACATGTCTAGATGGAATTCATCGCGCTGAATAAGAATAACTCAATTTCAAGGTTTCACAACCTTTTGGAACGGAGATACGAAGCGTTTTTTCGAAAAAACGATGCTCTTCGGTTTTTTTGATTTTTCTCGAGAAAGACGTGCACTAATCAAGCTAAAGAGATGATATTCGTGATCAGCGTGAAATTCTGCGTCAAACGATGTATAAGACAGCCGAAAAAAAATAATGCCGTAACTTCGAATTTGGTGCACCTTATTTTCTAAGAGAACCAATTTTTTCTATTAATTTCAAGCAACAGAACTCTTAAGTATACCTATAACTCTTTTTTTATAATTTTTGTTAATCTATTTCCATTTTTCATCTTTGCGCCTTGTATTCGATTAATTATCGTTTATACACTACTGAAAATCAATATGTTTGTTTCTAATGATGAAAAAGTCTAACGAAAAAAAGGAAACAAAAAAAAAAGAGTCAAATCTATATTAGTTACTATGATAGTCTGTTTGTTCTCAATATTCACGAAAGAATTTATAAATATTAAACTATATTGAAATAATTAATGTCTGAATCATATCGTAGTCGTTTAAGTTTATTTCAACAAGGTGTTGAACAAGCGTTGGATGATTCACAATATAATCGAGAAAAAATTCTTAAATTAAATGATCCTATGTTATTAGTTGCCGAGAATACACATTTGTTATCGGAAGAAACGAAAAAATGGGAACATAAAAGCGCTCAAGCTGCTAAACAAGCAAAAAAACTTTATAATACACAATGGTGGGAATCAAAATTATGTAAAATATTCTTTATTGTTTTGTTAATCATTGGACTAGTAATAGGATTTATATTTATTGGAAATCATTTTATATGGAGTACTTCAAGACAAATTATACAACCTAAAAGTGTTACGACAAAAGAAACAAATGTATTTAAAATCAAACAAAATAAGAGAAAGAATAAAATTTTATCAACCATTGATATTAGATTTATTAATGATAGATAGTAGCTCTTTTCTCATACTACTATTTTATAAATCTAATATAAGGAAACGTTTTTTATTTTTATGAAATTATTCTAAATGTCAAATAGTATGTGGAATATTTCTTCAGCAGAAGTAAGTGCACTCACGCGCTTTTCTTGTGAGTGAAATTAATAATGATTAAAATATATTGTTTCTGAAATTGTGATATGACAATTTGTATGGACAAATTTCATCTACAATTGCAATTAAAATTAGTTTGTTGTTTTATAAAAACTTTTTGTTCTAAGTACACATATTATAATACACTTTGATCTCTAGTATAATAATTTAATTCATTATGTTTACATGTATATCCACTAACATCTCTAAACACGATGAAGTTGTTCTCCGTTTCTGAATTGCAAACAAAAAAAATCTCATAGATAGGTATCCGAAGAAGAGGAAATTCTTTATATTTCGACTATGTTTTATCAAACTAATTTAACTAAAAGTATAATAACAATACGTGACAATAAGACATTGTATTAATATCTTCTTAAACATGTAGTTGGTGTACGGCTTGTTTTTGTAACAAGATATATTGAAAAAGAGAAAGGAAGAAAAGAAAGATTCATTGTACAGAATATGATGATTAATAAACGACCAACACTTGAGTGATCACATATACAATTATACACGTACATTCTGTCAAAATTTTGAGCATTTTTCAACACATTCGCTCACTTTCTTCCACAATAATTGCAGCTGTTCAAAGTGACCTTGTATAACAGATATTTTCTTCTAATTACAACATTTTCTTAGTTTTATCTCACAGATTTTCAGCTTTATGAATTCTCCTCTTTTCATCTATTTTCACTACCCTCGCCCTTCTCCTTCTCCTCCTTCCGTTAGAGAAGCTCTAAATCTATTCGATTTTGTTGATCGCAAAAAACGTCAGATTGGAAAGCACCAAATGTCGGTTAATGGAAGATCATATAATCCAATGATTTAATTATATCGTGTTCAAAAATTTGAGTGATAGTAAACGCAATATATCACTAATTCCTCCTACGGATAAAATCACTCAATTCCTGCTCACAAAAAGCGACTTTATGTAACACTTCACGTGTTTAGTATACAAGTGCAATTTTTACTTCATTCGGCATGTCATTCGCATAAGTCGGAGAGAAAAATTCCAACTAATATTACTGCATTTTAACATAAGAAAATATGCTTGTTTTTAGGAACACACAGAAACGGGAAAAACAGATGCGATAAATTCTCATACGGATTATATATAACACAATAAAACGAATTATATGAGAGATTCTTACGTTTCCAAAATATGCACTCTCGATAATTAGTTTATTAAGTACCAGTACCATCTTCTTTTAGGACTTCTTTACTCAACTGTTTTTTGAACCGGATGAGCTAAAATTTTGTTGAAAAGCGGTGAAGAAGCATCCTACGAAAGTGATCATCAAGATAACAAAACCGTTCGTTGTTTGTTCTGTTTGAGTCAGTAGCACAATCAGGAGTTTTTTCAGACATTCAGCCTAATTTTTACTGACGAGATGTCTCCTTCCGATTCTAATGATTTGCACATGGATTGGTAAACCTTAGTGAGGTAGTAAATACCCTAAAAGGATTCGTGCCCATGACTCTTGAAGACCCGATTTTCTGAAAAACCAGTTTTTGAAAAGCTCTGAAAAATAACCAAAACCTTTCTTAATGAGGCACAATTGTAGTTCGCAAATCTCTGATTAAAATGAGACATCTCCAAGTTTTACACAACCTTTCTTTGCAAAGTTATAGAATTTACAAGAAAAGCCCAAAATTAATTTCTTATTTCTGTAGCTTCGAGCTGACAAGAAACATTTAGAGCTTTTCTTGTAAATTCTATAACTTTGCAAAGAAAGGTTGTGTAAAGCTTGGAGATGTCTCATTTTAATCAGAAATTTGCGAACTACAATTGCGCCTCATTAAGAAAAGTTTTGGTTATTTTTTAGAGTCTTTCAGAAAGTCGGGTCTTCAAGAGTCATGGGCACGAATCCTTTTAGGGTATTTACTGCCTCACTGAGGTCTATCGATCCATGTACAAATTATTGGAATCTGATAAGTAAAATGATCAGTGAATAATACAAAAAGAAAGTTTCAATGATATTTCTTAGTTTTTAGCTGATTATTTAGTTAACCATAGTATTTTACCGAATTTTAAAAGTGCAAAAAATATTATTTAAAACGAATAGCTTTTTAACGCATACCTCAAGTGATATGTAAAATAAAAATTTGCTTAGCGTTTTTAGAAAAATATGTTTTTATCTTTTTGTTCTTGTTAAAACATTGTTAGAATCAAAAAAATGTTCGATATTATTATCAACCGTCTTGAAATGATTGATGTTAGTTTACATTTGACTTGATGAAGAAAATAATCTTAGTCAGAAGCACGTAGCTATTTATATAAAAAGAAAAAAGATGCATTTTTGAAGCAAATAAAAATAAACGGTCAAAACTAGCAAGAGAAAGAAAAGACATATTACTCTGTTTTGTGAACATTTCAGTCTTTCATTATATTTTTACATAATATTTGTTGAAGAAGTATGGAACCGATCTTTATACCACCATCTATACTCATAATTAAAAATATTAATTATTATGGAAATAATGCTGCACTTGTTGGAATATTATCTTGTATACTGGCAATATTGGTTTTACTTATTGTTCTTTATGATCTTAGCGAACGATATCATGAACAATCGCAAAAGATCGACGAGAAAGGTGCCGTTTTACCAACTACAACAGCCTTATTTATAAATGAGCACGCCAGAGTAATCAACGATCATGTAGCTGCTATTCACATATCATTAGATGAAGAAAATGTTTCTAAAAATCATCATAATGATTCTGTACCATCACAAGAGAAAGTTGTTGTTTTATCTACAAAACCAGCGTCATTAGGTCGTACAAATCCAATTGCTATTAGTGAGACGGATTAGATTGATAAAACATAACATAAACAAAAAGTTATTTTAATTAGTTGCTCTGTTTTTTTGTTTTTCTATCCTTGAGACGTGAAATTAGTATTCGCTTTTCGCGCCTCTATCTATCTGTAGTGTTTTAACCGTGTTAACAATATTGTTATTCTAAATTAAAGTTCAAAAGTCAACTAAAAATTATTTTACATGGAACAAAACATAATTTTGAGAAAAAATCTCCTTTATTAAGATGATGTTTTTTGTTGGATTTAGATTCAGTTTACACCAGATTCTAAAATTTTTTTACTATAATTTCACTCAACTAAATTTTGTACTCAATTTTTTGTTAGCTATTCGATATTTTTATTTTCAAGTTGAACTTTGCTATGTAAAATATTCAATTTCTAATGTTTTTTTTGTAGTTTATTTCATTTGTTCAATTTCTAATACACCAATCTGAAATATTAGTGCTAATCAACATGGATAAAGAGATGCCCAAGTACGATGCCCACTGGTTTCTCTGAAGAAAATGATTTTTGTCTGATCATAATATCGTACACTGTAATCAGAATGCAACGACTATATCATTTTAATTGCTAATATTTTTAGATCAAAATAATCATGTGTTTGCTTGAGCTCATAGTTTTTAAGCTTACGCATCTAATCTGAAAAGTGTAATAATTCTCTTTTTTTAGCTATCGACGATTGAAGTCAAATATGGCAAAAATAATGACTGAATTACAAATGAAGAATAGTAAATAAAAGATTGAAATTAAAATTAAAACTTTTTGAATAAAAAAATTATATAATCAATCACGAACAGGATTAGATACTAGATACCGTAGAAATTTATGTAAAAAAATAAAATTGACAATAGCTAATAGAAGAGTTCGTTGACAATTAGCAACCACTGATGAACATAATATACATTGTGAAAAATATGAAATATCATGATAACCAAGAGATATTTTTTTGTTTCTGTCGTATTTATATATATATATATATCCTGTAAACAGATCAAAAGGACTATAATGTAATTAAATTAAAATATTGTTTCATGGCAACACTCTCTACTTTGTGTTTTGACAGAATAATTTTATTTCAATTGAAAAAAGAAAGTTTGGGGCTACAAAATAGCGTTCTTCGACGTTTTGTTGCAAAAGTTATTAATTTCTTAGATTTTTACTCAAGAGTCACCCTACAAAAAGTGATCGCCTAAACGTTCCGTGTACTGCAGAAAACACTAGGGTGACTCTGACAGTAAATAAACATGAACAGCTCAGCGTCAGATAGTACAGTAGAATTGACTCCAAACACCTTTGAAAAACACAGAAAATATACACACTGTGATGCAATCAAAAAATAGTTGATATAACATACTAAATTCTATCTTTATTTTTTTATTCTTTTAGAATAAAATATTAATTTCATTTTATCTAGACGTCTCTAATTCTATCAAAAATACATTAAGAAAAAATATGCACAGAGAATTGGCACAGAAAAGAAAAATATTCAATATTTTGAATAAACAGATTCAAAAAGAAGAAAGATCCAAGAAAAAAAGAGAATATGGACAAAAAAAACAGTAGATATTTATTTTACTTTTTATTTTTCTTGGCCGTATTTGATCTAGTCGATGAATTGTTGTCACTTCTGAAAGAAATATAATGTTGTCAATATTATGCCAGAAAAGACGTGTGTCTAGCCCAATGATAAAGTATATCTGTCATGGTAACAGCGTACAATATCAACATTTTAGACTAAACCTCAAAAGTTGATATAACTTAAACTTATCAAAGGTAATCTTCTGTACTAAAAAAACGAATCATCACTAACTTTTTCTTTGTTAATGGGGTTTTAACGTCTAAACGCATCGTTTTCTTTGTATCACTTTGATTCATCGATGATCTTGATCGTGTTTGTGTCGGTGAACGTAGCCGAGGTCTAAACAAAACAGAGCAAAAAAAAAAGAGTAATTCAAATTGTTCTTCGATTCAGCAACAAAAGCTAACATTTTTTTTGTTGTTGATGGCGTTTTAACGCGAATAATTGGTGTGGATAATTTTTCGTTTCGCTGTGACGATGTTGACCGTTTATTGTTTTTTTTAACTCTTTTTTTCGCTGTTTGATCATCGATTTTTCTATTACCATTACGTGTTGTTTTTGTCGGAGATACACTACGCGATTTAGAACGACTTTCTATTGCTGATGAAAGTTGCGTTTTTTCAGGTTGTTGTTTACGGGTGCGAAAATTATAATGTTTTGGCGAAGATAAAGTTTGTAAATTATTACCTGAAATAAAAAATAGCCATTTCTGTAATTAGATATATTCAACTACTGCAATACATTATTTAAATAGAGAAATATTCCTCAATTGTATGTGATAACAAATTTGACTTCAAACGATATCATATTGAATAATTGTTGTCTATTCAAAGCTCTCAGCACGTTCAACGTATGAACAAGACAAATTTTCAATTATAAAAATATTACCTTTCTTTTCAATCGATATTTCTGATTTATTATTTTTAATAATTTGTCTTCGAGGTTTTGATTTTTGATTTCTTTCTTCTGAATATGCGGACGTTATTGTTATTGTTGACATTGATTGTTTGACGCTAATCGACTTTTTTTGTATTTGATCATCGCTATCCGATGTAAGACTATCATCATATTCTCTAAAAATGAAAAATAAAATAATGAAATAATTTTAATCAAAAAAAAAAAAAGTAGAAAAATTCACCTTTTCACAGGAGAATCATAGATTGAAATTAATGGACGTTTAAATTTTCCTTTTGCTTTTTTCGTAACAAATGTTGTTCGCATTTGAAAATTATTATTAGTGTTCGGATGAATCGAAGAAGAGTATTCTAAAATAATAATAGCCATAGTTAACTAGACTCTTATAAAACATCTTTTTATTACCGACTGCACCATTATTCTGTAAAACTGGAGATTTGTTTTTGTTACTATTTGTAAGACAATCATACATATTATCACTAGATTCACTCTGCTGTTGTTGATGTTCATTAATAGCTAATAATGCTGGTGATAAATTGAATGTTTTTCCAACAAAAAATGTTTCATTCATTGGTCTTGAATTATTATTATTATTATTATTATTCATACCATGCACTTCTATAGGTAATGTTTTTCGCTCATTTATAACATCCGCTACGGCAAATGTTTGATTAATTCGTATGGGAATGATATCAGCAGCAGCATAATGTAATTGTATTGGTAATATTTTAATACCGTCGTCATCATCACTTTTTGGTGGCGATGATGATTGATGTTGTTGAACAGCAATAGGTAATGAATATGGTTTTTGTGTTATTTCTATTTCTATATTTGTACTTTGATCATTATTAAAGATACCGTCTTTTTCAATATTTAACGGTACATTGACATTCGACGGAAACGTTGAGCATGATATTGTTGATTCTGTGGTAAGCGGTTCCAATCGCTGATCTAATAAGAAAATAAATGTTTGAAATCAAACTACGTTGTACTTCGACACTACACGTCTATTCACACAGAGTATTGATAAGTAGAAAAGACAATCAGTTTAAATGTTGTATTAATGCTTCGCTGTAATAAAAAATCTTGAAATGTACTATGTGATGTCATTATGTACAAAAAAATAATCTTTCTTGCTTACCGACAACAAATGTTTGATCTAATGATAGTACTTTTGGCATTCTATTTTCATTTTGATTTAAATTAGCATCATCTTTTTCATTAGTATTTGATGATTTTCTATTTATACTCAACGTCGATGAAAATGATGTCGCCACTTCTTTGTTCAATTGTGTTAGACGTGAGCGTGTTTCTACAAACCAAAAAACATGAGTGTAAATTATTACAAATTATAAAAAACTGTACTGAACATACGTTGCATTGACATTCGTACATCTAAATCCTGAAACATATAAACCATAACAAGCAAAAACTGTACATTTGCATGTAGAAATACGTACCGGTGTTACTTCTACACCGTCAATTGTTGTTACAATTGATTCGTCTGGCCGATTAACTTGTTGGAATTTATGTGATGCCAAACGGCGAGACATAATACGATGTGGTAGTTTTCTAACAGAAATAAAATAGTATTCAGTCTTTTCAATGCCACCTTGAAGAAAAAGTATTGTACCTATTAATCACTGCATATATTTTGTCCCAATACTCAGTTTCCTGTTGAACAGCTGTATGAATTTGGTTACAGTGATCATCGACAAATGTTTGTAATTTTTGCATACGCTAAAACATAACGATACATTTGTCACAAAAAATTAGATATCTTACCAAAACCTTAAAATTTCATGCAAACTTATAGAGAATCCTCTCGACCTATTTTCACTTTTTCTTCAGTATTTTGATTTAATTTATGTTTAATAGACTAAAAGACATCTTAGAATAAGATGAACTCAAGTTCAAAACTTAGTTTTATCTTAACTCAAACTAGATTTACGATAAGAATAAATTGCTTCTAAACAGATAAAAGTGTATTTACATAAATTATACTATTTTTTCTCAAAGTTTATGTAAACAACAGCAAGAAAATATGAATTAGACAGTATATCATAACAATGTTTACAATCATTCCATGAATCAAAGTTTTAATCCCAAAATGCTTTTTTTCTTCTATTAGTATAGCAGAAAAAAAGTTCCACTTTTCACACTCATGCAAATATCCTCATTCAAACTATCTCTGCATTGTAGTCATTATTCGTACTTCTTCAAAAAATGTTTCTAAATTATCTGGCGATAACTGCTGAATATTTTCAAGTATATTCAAATCATTTTGAAATTGTTTAAGTTTTCCATCATTCTTTCTACTATTTTCTTTCAATTCATTATTTTCAATTTTCAATAATTTTGTTTGTTTTTGTAAATATACTAGAAGAAGAAATAAATTGTTGATATTGTTTTTTCTGTAAAAATTCTACGTACTAATAGAACTTCGTACAATAAGCGATTTGGCTGCCGAATAAGCTGACTTTGTTTTCTTAAATTTTTTCGAATTCCAACTTGTTTTATGACAATGTAAAGAATTCGATATGTCATTACCACATGCAGCTGCCATTACCCAAACAAATAAATAAAATTTAAAATTTTACTTCTCACATCAATATAATTAATCTATTTTAAAAGAGAAAATAAAAATAAATAACAACAGTTTTCGATATTAGTTAAGAAAAGTGATCTATTGTGTTGTTGGATGAAAACAGAATACTAAAGAAAAAATAGATAAATCAGTTTCATTGATAAAGTAATAAGCTTTTTACAGATAAAAATAATTGAAAAGTACAAACGGTTCGTGCCCATCAAGTTATACTAGTTATAAGAAATTAGACGTTAGCACCGCAATCAGTGCAATTAATGAATTTTTCATGTTGGTTATAAAGCTTCACCTCGAATTACAAAATGTTGGAATATCTTGGCATTTTTTAAGTCGTTAGTTCACACGGTAAATCTCTTAGAATCGTTGAACACCCTAATCATCAACTGTCATCGGTCTACGGTCACCGAATTACTGAATCTCAACACTAGTAGACAAAAAGTCCAAACTCGTTGTCAGATGAACTTTTCTGAAGTGAAATTCTAATTTTGATTAAATAGTAAAGTAAGTAAATGTGATATGCATGTTTTTTATTCACAAATAGTGATATCATGAAAAAAAGTTCGTTCTAATAGTTAAAAACTCTCTCAGTTAAGCAGAAATACTCGTAGATAGTTAGCTCATTATGTTTAACAGCTTTTTTTTAACATTTTTGTTGCGAAAAGTGAACTCTATCCTTGACTTTTCTCCTGATGTAGCTTCATAATTCATGTGACGGGACGGGACAAAGAGATTATGACTGGATTCCTTTTGAACTGCGGTATAACATGGAACGGCGCTGAATTAAAACCAGATGTTCAGCATATTCATGGGACGTTTCTGACACATAAAACCTTTCAAAGAATTGAATTTTTACTCTTTCAGGTTTTTCCCGTACAATAACAGAAGGAAAGCAGATGTCACTATTTTTTGACCGATTTTCCTGTCCTTCAGATAGTTAGAAACTTTTACGACGAGATACTAAACTATCCAAGGAGTGTTACAGTTTAGTATATTTAGAAAAAAACTTATAGAACTTATAGAACTTATATATAAAAACGCAGAAAGAGACGTTTTGAAGAAGTTAATAATCAAGCGTAAATATACTTGTCTGGTGAATGTAACCCAGTCAGTCATAGTCATTCCAAAAACTGCAGGTTTCGAAAATTTACGAAAAATTTTACACGTTTAGCGAATTTGTGGCACAAACACGCAAGAAGCTACGAGTGTAAGGAAAATAACACGCAGGAAGTGTAAGTCGCCATGGAAATAGAGGCGTTGCTCGCGTGTTATTTCGCAACTTCTTGTGTGTTTGTGTCACAAATTCGCTAAACGCGTAAAAGTTTTCGTAAATTTTGAAATCCTGAAGTTTTCGGAATGACTATGACTGATTGAGAGGATATGGATTCTATTTCATATTAAAGTCGATTTGCGTTGCTCTTTAAGGTATTCAATATTTAGGTTCGATATTATATTGAACTATGACTCTTTCATAAACTCTACTTTAAATACCTTACCATTTTCTAGATGGTGTTACTTTGATGACAAGTAATTCATATTCAAATAGGAGGTCAAGTTTTACCAAGTAGCGAAATGAATAACTCTTTTATATAATAACATTGTTGATAAAGTGAAACTGGAGAATTTATTAAAAGTATAGTAGAGTAAATGTTGTTTAGTAAGTTAGATCAAATGAACTAAAATGAAATATTAGTTTGAAATAATGAGAACATATAAAAATATCATTTTTAGCTTCTTTCGGCCCATTTCTCTCTAATACGGAAGAATTACCAAGAAAATCTAAACATATCCGTTTGTTAAAAATGCTTGCTTCTATCAGATATCAAACTTCCTATACAATTAATTACTTGGATCTGAGAAAAGAAAGACATACTCAAAAGTTAAAATAATAATTCTACTTTAGAAAATGAACTTATGCTCCCAAAGATTCAACACACATTGCATAGCCAAGAACAAACTAGCTACTCAAAAAATGCATATTTTCTGAGTTTTTCACTTTCGTACATATTGCTTTCCAAAGTTCATTCCAGCTTTTATAATCCAAGAACCAAAACGAGTGATGAAGTATCTGCCAGACCTCTTGTTGTTCTGGAACTCCAGTAAACTAACTATCTACAAGTATTTGTTTTTTCTGAGAGATGATGAATGTATACCTGCACCAGTTAAAAACGAAGTATAGTTTAAAAAACATGTATGTTTTCAACAGGACTAGTTACAAAAACGACGATATAGAATTATAGTGGAGAATTTGCTCTTCAAAACAATATATTTAAAAACTTTAGTTACCTTTCGATCAAATAAATATAATCATTTTATTGTTAATACAGTTAATAACTGGTTCTCTTTTTTTCATATAAAATGATCATATTTTTTGGATTGAAAAGTAACTAAAGTTTTTAAATATATTGTTTTTAAGAGCAGATTCTGCGCTATAATCCTATATCGTCGTTTTTGTAACTAGTCCTGTCGAAAACATACATGTGTTTTTTAAATCATACTTCGTTTGTTTTTAATTATTAACTGGTACAGGTCTACCTGATTCCCATATGAATTTGTATTTAAATGTTGCTAAGATAACATATGACTTTTGACATACTTTTTCAGATGTATTTTATCCTTTGTGCCATTACTTTCAGTTAAGAATGTCTATCTGTTTTTATTCTATTATTACTTCAAGAAAACAAAAAACTACATTCTTATGTCTATTATTCTTAACTCACACACATACACAACACGAAAAATAAATATTATTAGTAGAAAAAGCAGGTCAAATAAACAAGGAAGTAGAATAAAAACTACAAATATAAGCGTAAAAATACGTATAGAAAGGATGCACAACAGGCGCAGAGATTATTGCAAAAAAAGACTACTGAGTATTTGACATGTCAGATATATAAAGAAAATGCACAAAAAAAGTACGAGAGAAGAAAAAATATATATTCTAAGAGATTAAAACAAAACTGACTCAATAATATTGCATAATACTAAAAATGACAAGAGATGCACGTTTATAAAGGTAAGATTCAATTATTTAAATTAAAAAAAAGCATATGGAAAGGATATAAGGTATGAAAAACTGTTCATTCTCCTAAATACTGATCATGTTTACTTTAATTGTGTTTTTAACGACTTATTGTATTTTTAGTTGTTTCCAGTCGTTTTTTTATGATAGATTTGAAAACGTGTTAAACCACGAAGTTGTTTTTTCTCATAATGAATATTCGCACCATATGCACGACATAGAACATTGATTAATACATTTGCTTTTGGCTTTAAAAATTGAACCCATATGTAAGGTTGATAATAAACATCCCGACGATCCACTTTACCACTAAAAAAGAATAAAAATAGTGATTGAAAGTCACAAATAACAACAATAAATGATAAATAGTCAAACTCATATTTACCGATATGGAAATCGTCCAGTATCCGTTCGAATTGTTCCACAGGCGCTGCTATCTTCTGTCTCACTATGATAAAGCAATTCTCCAATATTATCTTGATCAGCAGCATACTAAACAAATAGATAAGATAAAATAGTTCAAATATTTTATTGTAAAAACATGTCCAATATCATCTGGACCTTTTTCTATTATTGCAATCTTTCTCTTGCATCTATACGTAAATCAAATTAGTTTACGAAAGAAGAAAAAATTTCGTTATGGTGTTTCATTACTGATACGAAATAATTAAAATGGGTTAAATATTGTGTGTTAACTTTTGTTTTGACGTTAAAAACATCTTAATGTTTACCTCTCCATGACAATGTATTTGTATAGCATCGGTACTGTCATCCGTACAGGGATTTTTACCCTCTTTATGATCGTCAGATGTTCGTCCACCTATTGGATACCAATTGACGATCTAAAAATAAAAGAGTTAGATTTTACCGATTATATATCTTTTATGAGAGCTTTACTTTATTCATTTTAACGAGCACACATGGTTTACCATCACCATAGCCAAACTTGTTTGCTACCGTACAATCACCTGGTGATTGAATATTAAATGGCTTACTACCAACCGTACCATCATAATATCCGTCATTTGTTTTATTCTTCGGATGATCTAAGTGAAAAGAAATTTAGATTTAGACAACAATTAAGTCAGCCTCATCTTTAACGTTAGTCTATATTTCTAAAAGAATTGTCGATAGGACTTATCGAACGATCATCTGTTAGCGAGCTATGAAAAATTTTTTTCGTCTGGATAAATCGAACAAATTCATCGTGAGCGTCAAAAAAAATGTAATATCAATATCTTATTCGTCATTATTCTTTTGCATGTATGTTTAGCTTTACAAAAATACATAGTGTCATAAACACTCTTTTCGCTGAAAAAAAGCGTGGAAAGGATTCGACTTCAATAAAAACAGATTCGTCTAAATCCAAACTGAACTGGAACAGAAAATTTTTGAGGTAATTCTTTAGATTCGAAAATTTTTGAAGCTATCTGAAAAATCAAGAAATTTCCAAAAGTTCTTATAAAAATCTAATCTTACAATAGTGATTTTATTGCCCAAGAACAGATAAATGAAACAACAAGCAGATTACGTCTGTTTTGCGTTCATGTTAATTCTTTTTCAAGATAACACATTTTTTTGGACATCATCTGAATGAAAAGAAATGAGTTTTGGGTCAATCACTCAAAACAATGCTTTCTATTGATCCATGATTCGGGTGTCATTGGGCCATAATCCATTAGCTTCCCTTCCCGTCGAGGTGCCACTGGAATGAAAATAAGCTCTGAAATAATTTTAAAAATGAGAAGATGAATCTTGTATTCCTTTCTATACTTCAATTAGTCGCATTGTAGTCTGTTTTATTTATTTATTTATTTATTTAAGGAATGAATAATTTTACTTACTAAACTTTAAATATTGTGTTAAACTATCCGTATACAATTCTGAATTCCATTTAGTATTTTTTTCCTTATTGTCTACATCGAAACCAATTAAATAATTGTCTGAATGTGGTTGCGGACGAAAACCAAGTCCTAATAATAAAAAAGAGTTTGTCTGTCAAAAATATGAGAATATAAAAAACTTTTTCATATCATAAGTTGTCTAATACTGTTATTTTGGTGAACGAGCTTTTTTTTCCACTATTTTTGTCATATTGTTCTCTATCGATCAGTTACTCCTCACACACCCACACCATGTCTAAGGTAAGTAGTTTTTTCTGTACCTTGGCTAATTGCCAAACAATTAACTGTTTTACCTGGTGATAACGGATTAGATCTTGTTTGCATTCTTGATGCTTTTGTACTATATCTTGGTCGATCTCTTGGTGTCACTGCCATAAATACAGCTAACATGGCGCAAAAGAAACCAGCTAAACCAACGTAGAAGAAAAAATAAAATATTGCCACTTTTGCTAAAATAAACAAAAAAACATTCTTCAATTTATTGTCAAAATTGTACAAAAAATTTTTTTTAAATGAATAGAAAGGTATAATGTCTGATGTAATTATGACATTTTAAATAGTGATAAGAATTAAAAATCAGGGAAACATTTTCTACAATAAAATAGTTAATAAAAAATCTCTCGTTTCATTGATACATACCCCATCGTCCCCCATCTCGTCCAACGAATTCACGTCGTTCATGATTATAAATGAAACGTCCTAAATCTCTTAAACGATCACCACAAGTCACTTCGGTTTTATCAGGCATTTTTTTTTCTTTTCCTACTACTGTTCAATTGAAATTATACAATAAAAACAGGAAACAAATAATCAGATCTAAAAAAAAATCACGAAAAAAACGTTGGTTAAACTAGTAAAATTTATTCTTTTTTACCATTCTCTATCGAGAAAGATACTACATGTAACAAGAAGAAAAAAAAGACGAGAAATAGTACTGGTAAAGCAGGTATTTTATACGATGTGACATTATTAACATCTATAGTAGAAAAGTTTTCCATATTTTTATGACGTAAAATAGAAGAAAAGAAAAAATTTGTCTGCCTAATACACACTTATAAATTTTCATTTCATTTTAAAGAAGTAAAGAAAAAAAAGAAAGAAACTTGTTAGTCTGTGTATTCTGATTACGCTAAATTGAATATATTCAAAATGAAATGACTTTCAAATAATTTAAGTTTTTTATTTAGCTTAACAAGAACGGTTATTTTATACTCTCTCAGAAAGATAATTATAAACTATACACATCTTATTGAACAAATTATGTGAAGAAAATATAGCACATTAAAAGGATAAAATTTATGTAGATAATAATAATAATGATGACTATATTTTATTTAAACAAAACGAAGAGAACATTATCATCAATTATAAAATTAATGATGTTAAGACTTTGTAGTTAATGATGTTTCAATTACTAATGATTGTGAGATTATAAACAGCTGATTGAAGCGGAAATAAACGTTAATTTGACTGTCAGTAAAGTGAAAGTTTGAGTTTTTTCTTGACAGACTTTGCATTTGAAAACTACTGAGAGCAATACTAACGGGTGCGGTCAAATGAATCTCGATTACTTTTAAACCCCCCCAAACAGGTTTTTCAATTCTAATCGTTTATATTTTGTGATATAAAAAAGAAAAAATGACCATTTTGTAGTTCTTTAAAAGCTCTATCAACTGGCTATATTTAAGCCCCTTCATAGGCACAAGTGGTTGAAGGAGGATTTTTTTTCTTTTAGTGAGCAATTTTGTCTCAAATCAACATCTGTTAACTGCAGTTTTGAGGCGCTTAGAAAAATTTGTATGATTCAGTCAAAACTACACATTCCGATGTCGGATCTGGTTTATCTTAAAGCAAAATAATTCTTCTGTTACATCCGAGCAGAGAAATTTGAATAGTCTCATTTTGTTGTTTCCCGTCCCAAAGTGAAGAAATCAAATTTTCCTTTTCTTTTTTACTTTTAGTAAGATTTTCGTTAGTGGTAGAAAAGAAAAGGTTTAAAGCGAACTTATGATACGTGAAAAGAAAGGTGACATACCGGAGCATCAGAAAATACATTTCGATTTCACTTTGATTCCATAGCGCCATGTTTAAATAAATATTTTTTGGTTGCGCTTTGGGTTTGAAAATAATCGAGATTGAAGGTTTCTCGTATTTCCTCTCTAGTTTTTATTCTTATAGTATATAAAGAAATGTTCAATATGTTATGTATAGAAAATTGAATGGGAAATTCTTTAGAAAAAAATTAAGTTTGGGCGATGAAAATTGAAAAAGATATTGAGAAAATACTGAGACCGGTATTTATTCTGATGTTATAATGAGTGATGAAAACATCAACAACTCTAACTCACTGGAATTTCGTAAAAGATCTCAAGATTGAAAGTAATATTTTCTCTGTTATAGAATATATATTATATAAAAACATAGGTATTATCTATTTCTCTCAGGTGTATAGGTTAAATAAAAAATGTGTATTCAAATTTTATTGAAAACTGCAAGTTTTCAAATAAAGTGGTATTAAAGGATCTTCAATGTTTAAAACTGTAACGGAATCAAAGTTGCACAAAATTATTTGCTGAACATGTTTAGAGATTGGTTAATAGAGAAAACAACTGTCATCTACAAACTTTGAAAGATGCCAGAAGCAGGAGAATGTGAGGCAAAGAAATGGACTTTAAACTACTCTCTACTCGCAAAATACACATTAATCACTTAACCGTCAATGGCATCAGTGATTTGACGATCGCTGACGACTAAGGCGATGAGCCAAGATTAAGTATAATACATGTTCATGTCTGCAAATGTTTCCAGCGCTATAAAAAGAGTACTAATGACATTGTAAGCTCATTTCAATAAGTATTAAGGAAACTATCTAAAACTGTGAACGTCAATGTTAGAGAATTTTTTTTGCTAGTCATCGAATTATACTAATGAAATGATTAAATAAAAAAAGGAAAACTTGACTTGGGCAAAAGATCTCTCTCTTACTTAAGATCACTCTGATTGGTTATCATAGTTCAGACAACAGCATTGAATTTAAATCATTAAGAAATTAAAATTGTATTTGCGAAAATGTCGATAAACATAAAACGAAGCTAAAAAATTATAAATTATCCGTCTAACTATGAAGGTTTCTTCCACTTTCTTTGTTCGCTTTATTTATAACCAATAAAGTTGTTTTCTTTTTTGTATTTTCTGTTGGTTGCTGCTATAAGAGATATTTTCTCTCTTTCTCACTTGTATTGTGTTGTGGTGAAATGTCCATAATATTGATGGGTGTGTTGCAGGATTTTAGCAAAAACGTAGAGGAACGTGGCTTTATATGTTGATGTGCCTATACGGATGAGGACGACCAAAAAGTGAGGGTTCCTCAGTCGTTGCCGTCGATGGAACATCTTTGAAGTACTAAAAAAAAAGACAACATTGTACTGGCAAAATATAGAGAATTTTTTATTCCACAATGCTTAACTAATCAAAAGAAAGAAGGCGTGGTTGAAATTAATAAAAAGTCGTCCGTCTATTATGATCGTTTGACGTGTCGAGCGGAATTTCGCACGGGACGATGAGGGGCAGAATGGTATGAAAGTTGAGTTTTGGGTAAGACTTCGACGTCGTCTTTCTCTTTAGAACGAGGTCGAAATGCTCATTCCACTCTGAATTTCTTTTGCTTTACTTCTGTACCTAACGGAGTTTATTATATTGTGAATGCGTGTGAACATTTTTAGTGAATTATATTGCCACACTAGAAGCTGAAATGAATTCGACTGGAATCCTTTTAATTTATCAACAGCTATCAAATTACATATCGTATGACGTATGATGTAGAAAATAAAAATAAGGAGTCAATTAATTGATGACTATTCGTAATATTAGTTGACTTTAATCCTCTTTATATGACAAAATATGATCTGAATCGCTCCGCAGAATTTTATGTGTTCTAAACTTTCTTCGTATGGTAGCAAGTAGAAAAAGTTATCCTAAATGTTAGAAATTATAAAAAAAAATGAAATAGGTTGTGCGCGTTAAGAGAAAGACTCAAAAGCATAAAAGTTTTATCTATGTGTACTGCTTCACATGAAATAAAAGCTATTTCAACAATTTTTAGGTTTTTAGATATTTTATTTTATTTGCTCATTTTGTATTGACTGTTACAAACATGTCACGTCTCCAGAAGATGTCTGTTCAAGGGATTCGAAGTTTTGGTAATCGTGATCAAGATACACAAGTGATAACATTTTTTAGTCCATTGACATTAATTGTTGGTCCAAATGGTAGCGGAAAAACAACAATCATCGAATGTTTAAAATATATGGCAACAGGTGTAATGCCACCAGGAGCAAAAACAGGTGGAGCATTTGTTCATGATCCAAAAGTAAATGATAAATTTTTGTTTACTTTAGTTTATTTTCTATTTTTGTTGAGGTTGCCCATGATTCAGAAGTCCGTGGTCAAATACGTCTTCTATTTCAAGATACTACTGGACATCCTGTACAAGTACAACGAACACTTGTTGCCACTCAAAAAGTATAGTTAACAGATATTCTTCGTCTCTACTTCGTTTATTTGAAAGATCCCAATATCGAAAAGAAAAATAAGTTATACTCAAAATATAAATTATTCTGGCTGGCTAGACAAATCAAATGTAGAAAATTCAGAGACAATTAAAACTTAAAAAATATAACATACTGTTTTACAAAATGTCTGTGCCCTTTTTTTTAGAAATCATCGGTTGCTTTGCGTACATTAGAAGGTATAATAATTCGTGAGGGCCCAAATGGTGAACCTGTTCAAATAACATCAAAATGTGCCGAATTAGATCGTGAAATGGTGTCAGCATTTGGTGTATCAACAGCTATCTTAGAAAATGTTATTTTTTGTCATCAAGAAGAATCAAATTGGTAAGTTTTTAATTAGTGATAAAAACAGATTTTATGAAAGAATGTGGACATAAGATATTTGTGTTGTACACTAACAGTACAGCTGAAATTTGAAAATGAATTGCAAAACAGACGATTGAGTCCTTAACCTGGAATTCTATTATCAAATCTCAAAATATGCAATATTTCTATAACTATCCGATAAGTCATTGACGTTTTGGATAATAGTGTGAAATGCCTTTAATCCATTTTTTGAAATAGCTCAATATGACCATTATTAAACATAGTAGACCAAAAATGGTGCATACACTACCTAGAATGAGAATAGCTGTGTTCACCTGTTTAATATTGCGTGTAATCGTAAAAATTGCTAGTATAAGGAAACAAAATATATCACATAATTATATAGGATAGATTAACAGCTGTGTATTTGATAATGGTTTCAATCTGTTGTTGACAGTGATAAAGGTTGTGAGCTATTGATTTAACTTCAAAATTTGATTGATGCATTTGTTACCAGCTACAATAAAAATTAATAAAGAAAAACTTATAGATATCAACTTTTAATTTCAATAGCACCATTCAATTTATAAAATTTTGCGTGTGAAATCATAACAAAACGAGTTCACAAAGGAAGAAAGAATAAAAGTAACATTTTACAACAATTGAAATAAATCATAAAGCAACTGACCTGCAATATGAATTAGAGCCAAAATTTGTAAAAATATTTTTTCTCATTTCTCTGAAAACTTATTAAATACACCAATGACTCTTCCACCATCATATCAATTCTTTGTCAAGATCGATGTCAACTCATCGCTAAGTTTTTTCTTGTAACGTCGTGTTCTATTCAATTAAATAGGACAAAGAAGTATATCCATCCTTCCACTTCGCAAAGTTCTCTCCGTTTTTAGGTGGTAAAGTTCTCGGGTTAGTCTTAAAATGTAGCCAAGAGTTGACACTACAACTTATCAAAGCCAGATTTTTGACTTAGTTTCTGAGGAAAAAAAATTGTTTCCAAAATTTTCAGAAAAAAATAGCTAGTTATTAGAAATTCTTTATTTTTCTCAGAAACTAAGTCGAAAATCAAAAATCCGGCTTTGTTAAGTTGTAGTGCCAACTCTTGGCTACATTGTAAGACTAATCCGAGAACATTAGCGCTTAAAAATCTGCCAAAAAAACAACAAACTCCATTGGAATGAGTAGCACGAGCAATAGTTTGATTGTTGCAATCGAGAGAAGCCAAAGATGTTGGCTCAGTGTTAATCCGAAACATTTTTTGATTCGAACAATATAAATGATGCATGAATAATTACTTTGTAAAGAAAAGTAGTTTAGAGAAAAGGAATGTTTCTGAATGCACTAGCATATCTTGATTTTCATCAACTCTGTAATTGAATTTTAACATAAAACAATCTATTTTAGGCCTTTAAGTGAAGGTAAAGCATTAAAATCCAAATTTGATGATATATTTGCTGCCACAAAATACATGAAAGCATTAGAACATTTAAGAAAAATTCGTACGGAACAGGTATGTTCGTATACGATACATTCTTTCATCCTCTATACACTCTTTTCTTTATTTTAGATGACTAATCTGAAAGTGAGTAAAGCTGAAATTGGTCATTTGAAAGCATACCGTGATATGGCAATACAAAAAAAACGGCAGTATAGTGAAGTAGATGAACGACGAAAAACATCGAAAACAACTGTTGATACGATTAAACAGAAATTAGAGCCTATTGAAGTATGTACAAAATAGTAATTGAAAATTATATTTTCTAAAGTTTCTCTCGTTGTATATGTAGAATCGTCTCGATTTTATTGGTAAAGAAAGCTCCAAAATGAACGATTTTCAACGACGAATGGGTAAGAAAAATAAATAGCCATATTAATTCTATTAAAAAAGATGTTGAAGTAGTTTGAGTAGATTTGTTATTAACCGAATAAGATTAGACAGCAAGATAACTACACATAGTAACTAGTTTAAATTTAATTTCGATACTATTTTTGTATTAGCTTAATTAACCATAAATAATCGAATCAATTTTATTTTAATTTTAGATCGTTTAACCAATGATCGTGATACACTTCAAAAACAAATTCGTGAATTAAAAGCCATGATTGAAGAACCATTTACTGGTAAGTGAATTACTTTTTTATTTCTTATTTAACTCATGAATCATTGTTTCTTTTTCATTTAGGTACACATAATGAATTAAAATCGTTAATATCAAATTTTGAAAAAGAACAAGAGAAAAAAAAAAGAGAATTAAAAGACGTAAATGTCACAGTTTTTTCTTTGCTATATACTCTCTGCAGAACGACGTGGTATATAAAGAGAAGAGTATCGATTTTCATTGATTTTTTTTTAATATTATTTAGAATGAAACTCAGAGAGATACATTGGAACGTCAAATGAAAGTATTAAATGACAAACGTACACAAATGACAAATCGTCTTGGTGGTTTAGAATTTGAAGAAAAACAATGTAAAGAAAAGCAAAAACAGCGTCAACAATTTTTAGAAGATATTTCTCAACAAAATAGTATATCTGATTCATCAGTAAAATCTATTCAAACATTTCTTGATAAAAGTATAAAAGAGGAACAACAAAATCTAACGGAAAAACGTTTATTATATACACAACAAGAAAAAGTTTTACAACAAGATTTAGGTAAGACGTATATGAATCAATGTTTATAGTCATTATATATAGGTATTTTATTTTTTATTTTAGATAAATTAAATGAAAAACGTATTAAATTACAATCACAAATTCGATTGAAACATGAACAAATTGAGAAAAATATAAAAGAATTATCAGAAATTAAAACACAAATGAAAACTATTGAACAATTTACTCGACAATTAAATGATTTAGATACAAAAATTATTCAAAAAGAAAATGAATTTCAAACAAAATCAAAACAAATCAATATTGATGAATTAAAACAAAATATTGGTGTTTGTGAACAAAAACGAACACAAATACAATTTCAATTAAAAGATTTAAATATAGAAATGGATAAACTATTAACAAATACAAAATTAAATACCGAATATGAAATGTTTAAAAAAGAAAAACATGATAGAGAAGAACAAATTAGAAAAATGTAAGTCAAATGATAAAATGTATGAAAAATAAAATATTTTTTTTTAATATATCTCACTATTTTACTTTTATTTTAGTAAAATTCGTAATCAAGAATCATTAATATCAATATTAGGTACTATACCCACATCGGATACTCAAATTCGTCCATCATACGATTCAGAATATAAAAAATTACAACAAACACGTGGAACATTTGAAAAAAAATTAAATGATTCAAAACAATTGATATCAGCAAAAGAAGAAAAACGAAAATATTTACAACAAGATTTAAAAACAAAAGAAGCTGATGTACAAAAATCCAATGATCAATTATATACTGCATTGAATGGTCAAGCAAGTTTAGAAAATTATTTGGGAAAAATACAACATGATTTAAATGGAAAACAAGATGAAAAAGGTAGAGTATACCAAAGTTTTCAATGGAAAAAGTGATAAAAACAACAACAACAACAAAATAAATATTTTCACGAAACTTTACTCTAGTGTATGTTCACTCTATTTAGGACAATTTGTTGGACTTGAAAAGACTTATACACGTTTTATTAACAAAGTAAAAAATTCCATGCAATCTGAACCATGTTGTCCACTGTGTTTACGTACATTTGAACAACTTAGTGATGGTGAACAATTAATTGCTGAAATGGAAGCAGAAATAAGACGTTGTCCAGATAAACGAAAACAATTAGACAAAGAAATTGAAATATTAACAAAACAACAAGCACAATGTTTAAGTTTACAACCTGTTCAAGAACTTGTCGAACGTTTAGAACAAACAGATATACCAAATATAAAAAAAGATATGAAAAAATTAGATCAAGAAATTATACAATTAAAATCACAAACACAAGAAATTGAACAAAGTTTATCAAAAGAATTACAATCGATTGAAATATGTGATCAAATAAAAACAGATATCACAAATTTGGATAGATTTTGTGGTGAAATCAAAGAATTTGATATGAAAATTAAAAAATGTCAAGAAAAAATGGGAATAAATGACAAAGGTAATAAGAGTACTTGCCTTCAATTTTATTGAAATAAATTGACTAGAAACTCAGAGTTTGTAAACCTATAATCAATACCGACATGACACGTTAATCCGTTCGATATATTGCTGGAAAATAGAGAATATCTGATTATTGAATGTGTGTAGATATTTTTTTGATTATGATGTTATCGATTTGAAGGTCAAAAAGACAGACGAACAATTGATCAAGTTAAAACTGAAACAAATCAATTACAATCGGAAAGTGAACACATTGATAAAGAGTTACAAACAAAACATTCACAATTACGTAAACAACAAGATTTAGTTCAAGAATTGCGTGAATCATTGACAGAATTAAAAAATGAAAAATTAAAATTATCAAATCAAGTAGGAAAAAAAGATCGTCTTGATGAACAACAAAAAAAATTACAAGAACAAAATCAAACATTAAAAGAAGAAATTAAAGATGATGAACAAGCTTTGCAACCATTAATTGTATGTCATAAGTTTAATAAAATGTTTTTCAGAGTTTTTCTCTGAATAAATCAGAAGAGGAAACTTTTGCTTTTATTTACATTTTCTAGAATTTACATGCACCGGTTATAACCGACAAATTTCACCTTTTTTCTGCAATGTATTGCATGAAAAGTACTCATACTAAAATTTTTCTAACAACTAGGTTTTGTAGAGCAAACATTTTTCTACAAGATGGCAACAGCCTTCATATTTTCTATTTCTGCTGCAATCGCTTTTCGACGAAGAGCCCTAAATCGGTTATAACCGATTATGGGGAAGAAATCTTTTTTTTTATAAGTACTGGATCAAGACGAAGAATACTCTCATAGCCAGAGATGAACAAGTCACCGAGTCCGAGATAAAAGGCTTTGAGTCCAGGTCCGGGTCCGAGTCGCATCAAAAATTGACTCAAGTCGCCTCGAGCCATTTTCTAGAGGTAAATTTCCTCATAATTCATTTTTTCAAGAAAAGCTTGCACCTCTATTTTCTGTCTCTTGTTTGTCTTGTCCTTTTCTAAGTCTTCAATCTTTTCTGGTATAAACCAAATATAATAAATATCGTCATAATGATCAAAATAAAAGTGACTCAAGTCAATTTATCAAGTTTATCGAGTCTTTCGCCTCGAGTCCGAGTCCAAAAATGTTTGTTCTACAAAACCTAGTTGTTAGACAAATTTTAGAGAATCAATTTTTGCTTAGAAAAACTTTTTGTGAAACAAAATACCCAATTTCAATCGGTTATGACCAGTGCATACCTAGCAGTAAGCGCGTTTGATCTCTCTCTGTAGCATATATCTTTTTACGCGTGAACGCATCGAATATCAATTTGGATTATGAGAATTTTATTCATCAGTCTTCAGTTTTTTACTGATTCAGAAGATCTATTTTAAAAACTTTAAAATAGTGTGATATTAGTCAGTTTGCTAACATTCAGTTTAATGATAGATTTATGGAACGATCAAGTAATCATAAATGAAATGTATAGACATGAATAGTTTGTTACTTTTTCTCACATAGGATGATATTGACTTAAAACAAACCCAGCGTAAAAAAATGGCCGACGAAAAAGAAACACAATTGAACAAAATATCGAAAACTGTACGTAACATACATCGTCGTCACATTTTTAATCATTCCTATGTTTCGATTGTTTAGATGACAGCTATGCAAGAAAAACAGACTGAATTAAGAACATTAACGGATGCTATTAGCAAGTAAGATTAATAAAGAATATTAATAATTATAGTATTATGTTGAAATGGTGGATGCCAGTGGGAAAAAAGTGGATAGAAAGACAAAATGATTCTATGAATTTTTTCCTTTGCTACACGTATGATCATACTTTTCAAATAGTCCTTTTAGTTTTCGTTACTTAAGGTTTACATTCTTTTCAAAAGATGCACTATTCAATTCTGTATGAAAAAACATATTAAAAGTTTTCTTATAAAAAGTAAAAATAAAAAATTCGATGAATAATACTAGTTTCAAAGTGGTCCACTTTATAAAATTTTTTCTATAAAGATTTGAATATTTTTTGCGGTTGTACTAGCAGTGAAATAGGGTAGAACAAGTTTTTGTGTACTATCAAGTGTTCTCTTTCTCATCGTATAGGAAAAGTTTGACTCAAAGTTCATTAAAATTAAATTATTTGAGTAAAAACGAAAAATTCATTTTCAAATGTCGTTGTTTGACTACAATGCTCGAATCATTTGTCTACAAAATAATAATAAAAAAACACGAGATCAAACCATCAAATTCTGATCGAGTTATACGAATTTCACTAGATGGTCCTAAACTACGCCACGAAAACGGTGATTTTTTTTAAAAAACTAAATAAGAAAAATATGTTGACGTGATAGAGACTAACTTGGATTGATTTTGTTTATAACTGAAAGACAGAATTTTTTAAAGGCTAAAAGATAACTAGCATCCATTCTTATATGTCATATATAAATCGACTAATCTTTCTTCTACCCTGTTTAGTTTTGAAGATAATCGTTCTCATGATTTAACGGAATTACGTTCGTCAATTGAAAAACTAAATCAGACACAAAAACAACATCAGAAAGATTTGTCTGATCGTCGTTCAACAATCACTCAACATAAAGATGATTTAGCTCGTAGTGAAATACGATATCGTCAAATGTCCGATCAATCTCAGTTATTTACTAAACAACAAGAGTTAGAAAAAAAAGAAATTGATTTTGCTGAATTAGAAGAAAAAACACATGGTCTCAAATTGGATACATTGACACGTGAAGAGAAAAAATTACGACAAGAACAAGAACAATTAATTAAAGAAAAATTAACAGCTATTGGTCGTTTGCAAACATTTGAACAACAAATTAAAGAATTACAAGATGAATTAGATCAAGAACAATTTAAAAATGCCAATGAAAAATATCTAAAACATTTTATGGAACAAAAAGTTTTAGAATATACTTCACAAGATTTGGAAAAATTTTATAAAGTATTGGATCAAACCATGATGACTTATCATTCACAAAAAATGGCACAATTGAATAAAATTATACGAGAATTATGGCGAACAACATATCGAGGAACAGGTAGAATGATGTTTTTGAATGTATCTATTTACATTTAAAAAATACCAGACAAAAATATGAATAATTAGAAGGATGCTAAAGATTGAATTTAGTCATGTATAAAATTATGGAGACGATTTGTTTTTAACATTTTTTACTCGGTCATTATAGGCACAGCAGATCCAAAAGGTGATTTCAATAGCTGAATGGATTTTCAGTCAGGAATGCTGCCTGCAGATTTCACTAACATTTACTGATATGAGATCTCTAGAAAGCCAACACTCTAGTAAGTCGAGTTTCTGAGCTTAATCAAAAACTTTTTCAACCACATTCAGCAAATTTTTCTGGATAAAAGTAAACATCTTCGAGCTCTTCATGACATTCTTATGTTAAATTACATTCATTTTACAGAATATTTCAGCCTAATAAAAAAAAAACAGTACACTCCGCAAGAAAACAGCAAAAAATGTCTTTGGCGAATTTAACATAAGAATGTTGTGAAGAGCTCGAAGATGTTTAATTTTATCCAGAAACGTTTGCTGTAAACGGCTGAAAAAGTCTTTGATTGAACTCAGAGACTTAGGTTTGGTGATTAGTTTTTTCTATGTATATTCCTCCTGTATATATATTGTCCACTAATTAAATTGCGGTATACTCTAGTTTCGTCCCATATTTTTTAATTAGACCAGTTTCTTAAAAAAAGCTTAAGTCAGGCAGAGGTCATGTAGTAAAAATCATTCATATTTTAGACTACTTAGATTATTTTACAGCGATTTTCTGAGCAAAATTTCTAAATAGTTATGTTCAGTCTAATTATGTTGGGTTGGATGGGTTACTGACTTCAAATAAAGAAGTTACAAAATTTAAATAATTTTCTGCTTAAAAGTTTAAGTGAAATCGAGAGTTGACTTAAGTTAAGTAATGTTTGAGAAACACACTTAGCTAAAAAATTTGACTGAAGACGAATTTTTCATTTAAATTTTGCTTAAGTTTTTTTAAGAAACTGATCCCAGGAACTCGATTTACTAGAGTTTGGGTTTTCTAGAGATCTCAGATCAGCAAATGTTACTGAAATCTGCACACGCCATTCCTGACTGGAAATCCATACAACTATTGAAATCACGTTTTGTATCTGCTCTACCGATCATGACCGAGTAAAAAATGTTAAAAATAAATCGTTTCCATAATTTTGCAGAAGACTATATGTTTGAAAGTACATGTTATAGAAGATTCTATACTGTGAATAGTAGCATTCCTATGAAAAGATGTACAATCACTCTGGCTAAAAGAGATGGTTTGAAGAAAACAGAGAGATGATTTGCTCTATTTATATGGTAGTATCCGATTCTAGATATCGATGCCATTGAAATTCGAAGTGACGCTGATATGGATAACGCGATAAAAACTCGTCGTACGTACAATTATCGTGTTGTGATGTTAAAATCAAATTCTGTTATGGATATGAGAGGACGTTGTAGTGCTGGTCAAAAAGTAAGAGAGAAGATACTGAAATTATTGTTTATATTCTGTAATCATTCACTATCTCTTTCAAGGTGTTAGCTTCATTAATAATTCGTTTGGCATTAGCTGAAGCATTCTGTTTAAATTGTGGTATACTAGCTTTGGATGAACCAACAACAAATTTAGATTTTGAAAATATAAATGGTTTGGCACAAGCGTTAATTGAGTACGTATCTGAGCAAAAAGAGAAGAAGGACTAAATATATTGATTCTATTGAATTTTTTAGAATCGTTAAAAGTCGTGCAAGTATGAAACATTTTCAATTGGTCGTTATCACACACGATGAAGATTTTGTTGATAGTTTGGGACGATCGGCTTATGCTGAAAAATTATATCGTGTCTCAAAAACACCAACGTATGTATTTGCTAAGTGTAACAGATAGTTTCATAGTCTTAGCAAACTTTTATATTTGTTGTTTTAGTGGTTATTCAAAAATCGATTTATGTAACATGTCAACATTTGGTCATTAATCTTTAGTTTTCCGGTGAATTGAAACGTCATTCTTTTTTCTTTAAATATAAGTAATTAACCAATACCAATACACAAGTAGTACTTTGTCAGATGAAATGTATAATATTCAAGATTCTTTCTTTTTTTTTGTTACTGTTATTCTATTTGATTATTCGTACTTTATTTTTGTTTACTTCCTGTGAGTGATACATGCAAATTTTTTTTGTATCTATTTTTTTTACTCTTCATCTTACATCAAAAAAGTATTCTCGGTTTGTATACTATTTTTGTAATGAATTTTTTATTTTTTGTCAATGTTGAAATTGTTATTAGAAAATTGGATTATAAGATGTAAATAGAAATGATAAGGTGAGTGTCTAACATGAGAGAAACGTCTACATCAAGCACAGAATGATTTGTTGGTAATATTGCTCGAAGTTAGCATTCTTTTTCCCACTCTTCGTTGAAAAAAAAAGCTTTTTAAAAGTTACAGACTACTCCTGCTCTGTTCAATATTAACGGCTGATCCATGGCAATAGTCGCTATCACTGATATTTAAGATGTTTCTTGCTATTGCTTGTGTAATTGCTATTTTACTAATGCTACTATTGGTGTTTCTTCTTCTTCTTTGCTTCTTTCGTGTTTCTGGAGTTTAGTCCTACTTTTAATTCTAAAATAACTCTACCGATCAATATTTTATGGTTTGAAAATATAAACATTTGTCATTTTTGGTAATAGAGTTGCAATTTGTCTGCAAATAACAGTATCTTTGCCATTTTTGCAGTATTATTAAACAGAGTAGAAGAAGGATTAGTGGATTTTTACATGATATGTAAGAATGGATGCTACGGACAGTTAACAATCCCTCAAAAACATTAAGTAAATAAATGTTTTGATTTAAATCTTATCCATTTTTTATGTAAACAAAAGGATGCACCACGCAATCACAGTAATGAATCGTCCATAAAGAATGGCACCCTCGTACTTTTCGAATAACTCTAGTTAAAACTAAAGTAAATAGAAAAATTTTCTTTATATTTATTTGCTGATACCGTCTGGTATACTATCCAGCCGGTCAATCATAAATGATACTTGTTTGCATTCTTCGCTATTTTATTGTAAAAATTCATCGAAATGCATATCAAAACATCGAATATTAGATAAACATGTGAATTGTTATAATTCAGCAGATGAAATAGATGTTGATTTATGTTCATTTAGCACACCATTCTTAATGTGAAACGATAAAAGATCGTATATCATGAAAATTACTTATGGATACCACAAATGATTGTCAAGATGATTTGAATGAACATTTTCTAAGAATGTGGCAATGATATATAAATCGATTATGCAATTATCTTCGCCTTCTAAAAAATTTCAAGACAAACATATTATGTGAACAAATATGTAATGACATAATTGAGTTTTATGAGAGGGAAACTATACGGATGAAACAGATTGCAACCAATGGTTTTGTAACACAAAATATACATGATGTAATAAAATCTGGAATTGTAATAATAGCCAAGATGAATCAGACTGCGACGATACACTATCAACAAGATATTGTGGGAGTAATCAAGAGTCCTATTGTTTTGATTTAAATAGTATAAATACCACAGGTCTATCCGAACAATTCTGATTTAAGATATCGTTGTAAGAATAGGAACGTATATATTAGTTTAATGAAATTATGTGATTGTAAAAATGATTGTCGAACGAAAGATGATGAAGATATGGTTTGTCATGATTAAGAGATTATGGATGTGAACAAAATCGATATTTAGTAATGGCAGAAACATAGCATACCGCTATCGCTGTGATGATGATCCTCGATATGATCAAGGAGAAGAAGAGTGGCTATGTGATTGAATTGACAAACCAGTTTTGAAATACTTTGATATTTGACGAATATTACACAGTGGCCTTTGTTTTTCTTGTTTTTGAGGTAATTTGGACTTTCTACCCTTATATGTTACTTTGCTTGAATAATTTATATATATTCGGTTTCCGCGTGAAAAACTACATCGAATAATGTATCACTTATTAGTTTTACAAATAAAAAATTGTTTGACAAAAATGTCCTGAGAGAAAATTATCAAATACAAAATATTTTATTGGAATTGATGCTTATGTTCAAAATGTTGTTGAGAGCAATCAAATTCATTTCAAATGATTATGGTATTTCAATATTAAATTTCCATTTTTTTTCTGTATATATGATTAGTGAGAAACTCGTTGTTCGGTACAATGAACCGAGGCGAAAATACTATATTATGATTTGTTTTTGTGTTCATGGATATTGCACATTCTACCTCAATACAAAAACTGTATATTGGCAATGTTAATAGGACTTCCATGTAATGTTAAAAATATAGTTAAATAAATAGTCATAATATAGTTAGTCAACAAGTAGTTTTAGGATTACAACAAAAAGGCAAATATAGTTTAAGAGCACAATTACGAGCTAAATATACATTTCAATCTGTAAATAATTTATAATTATAATATAATAATTAATATGAATGCTGATAACATTTCAAATATGAAGCGGAACACGGTCCTAAGCAATGCTGCCGCTTAGTTTTACATCGATGAAAGACACCACATGATATATTCTTAAGTGAGATTTACTCCAGACCAAACGATAGCACATGTTAGTATTGATTTTCAAAATTCTGAAAATATTGGAGAAAAAGTTCCGCTAAAAAAATGGTGCTGTTTTAATTGGACTGTGCCATTATGGAAAAGACGTCGATACATGACCTCTGAGAATGTAATATAAATCAAAATAAAATAATTTCAATATAACGAAGTCGGGGTACACCATTTGAGAGTAGGCTAAAATAATCTTCTTATAGCGATGAACCAATCTCGAATGGAAAGGGGTCATGTCGGAGCTCGATTAAACAAACATCAAACTAGCTTGTCTTGTTGAAAAGTTTTATAACTACTAATATTAATCCAACAACTCTCTAGAGCTAGAACAGAATACGAAACTCACACACAGAGCTGCAGAATCTGCCTGTTTGCTCTGACGGTCGTCATGGGAAAACTTATTGATTCAGGGAAAGTTTTTGAAAAATTGGAACATCTTTTTGCAAATATATTGTAAAAAGAATTTCTGTTGATATAAGCTATTTTTATTTGAAAAAGAAGAGAAAATTAAATGCGAGAACTCCCCAAACTAATTCGGCGAACCATTACATAGCTGGAGAGTTGTCGTACATGATGTTTTGCACACCGTATAAATATGTAAATTAAGAGATAAAAAATTTAAAAATAGAATCACATAAAGCACATAAAGAAAGAATAAAAGAAAGTAGGTGGTTACACGTACAATCGAATAAGTGGTGATGGTGTTAGAAAAAATAGGAATT